TGACTAGAACAATAACAATTTACTATTTTTTAAGCAAAACTGCAGAAGCCAGACCACAAAAATCTTCAAAGAATCTCACGAGAAACTTCTAATAAAATGGTCACCATTCCCCCTCTTTTTGAGAACCGAATTCTGAAATGGGAGCTACTTAAGACTGAAGGGACCTTTCACCCGTGGGATGCTGAGCTGTTGGTGTGCAAAATGGCCAGGTGAGGGCACTCTGACACAGCGGTACAGGAGAACACATCGGCCAAGAAGAAACCAGAAGTGAAAAAAAAAAACAAAAGGCTTGCAACACCATCTCAGCAGTTACTCTATTGACTACACTGAAAATTAGCCACTCTATCTTGTTAAAAATACATTTAATTTTTAAGGAGAAAGACCCTTCTTAGAAGTAATGCAAGCCTAGGGGGAATCAAAACAAAAAAAAACACCCAGAACTTATTTAGACAAGTCCTGAATGACATCAGTAACATCAAAAGCTTAAAAGACCAATTCTAAATCCTAAAAATAATGTACAGGCCTCTTTTACCACACATAAGCACTGCTATGTTTTCAGAAGGTGGCCAGACCTGTCTTTCACAAACTAAGAATAAAGTCCCTCAGTCCTACAGACCATTAGGGGACTGGAACATTCCTGACAGTTCTGGAAAACAACTTAATTTAAGGTTTAACTGTGAAAAGCAAATATAAATGAGATACCCAGCATTTTAATTCTAGTGTGTGCTTCAAGACCCTAAGTTTCTTCCCACACTTCAAAAATGGTCTCACAGAATAGAGAAAAGGCCTCTCTTAATTTTATATTACTGTTCAGAAAAAAGGTTTGCCTTCACACTTGTATGTTAAGAGATACCCTCATTCAGAATGGACAATAAAACTAGGTATTCTGATTTACAGGAAGAGTTTTTAAATGTACATGACTAAGATTTTTTCATTTTGTGCAGAAAGTCAGATTTAGGCTTCAAATAATTTCCTTTGGAAATTATATCCTTAGGAAGCATATTAGTTATAAAAAAATCAAGGTTAATAATCACATGTTCAATAATTAAAATATTAATTAGAGTCTTCAAGCATAGAAGAAAAAGTCAATTTGATTCTTAAAAAAAATCACTGGTAGCAATAGAATTCATCTATACTTCTTGATCTATTGGGTCAGTTCACCCAACTTATGACACTTTACTTGACAAGTTTTTACTCACAGCTAGGGAAATCTCTGGATCTTCATCAAATGAATCACCGTCACTATCTTCATCCTGGTAAATAGTAAGCTGATAAACCTGGTTAAACGAAAAAAAAAAATTGTAACTGTTTTCTGGCATTCAGTTAAAAACTCAAAATATTTTTAACCTTACAGATTTTCAGATAGGGAGCAACTGAAGAGTCTCCAGTGATGGGTCACTAAGATTATTAAACAGATTAGAGGAGCTCCAGAGGAGCCTGGAAAAGGCTCAGGGCAAGTGGTGTCTTATCAATGTGTATAAAAACTTGGAAGGAGGGTACTAAGAAGAGGGAGACAGGCTCTTTTCAGTGGTGGCCAGTGACAGGAACAGAGGCAACTGGCACACATTAAAACACAGGAGGTTCCCTCTGAATGTCAGCAGACTCTTTTTACTTGTGGGCGACCAAGCACTGGCACAGTTGCCCTGAGCATCTATGAAAGACTCCATCCTTGGAGATATTCAAAAGACATCTGGACATGGACCTGGATTCAGCTCTGCCTGAGCCAGGGCTGATGGATAAGATGACCTTCAGAGGCCCCTTCTGACCTCAGTCATTCTGCAATTCTCAAAACTACTGCTGGGAGCAGGAGCACACTCCAATTCTTTCTTTCTCCAAATTACTGTCTTATTTCAGGGTGCAGCTCTGCAGCACTACACTACAAGTCAGTGTACATCAGTGCAGTCAGTCCCATTTAGCCTCTCAGGTACCATAATCACGTATGTCCCTGGTGAATTCTGCCTCTGGTACTTACCCAATCTTGCCATGAGCTGATTAACCCCTCTAAAGTAACAGAAAACTAACCCAGAAAAAAAAACCCTAATACATTTTCACCTCATTCCTGACATCCCATACATCTAGATCTCTTGAAAATTATGGTAATCGCAATTTTACTGACTTCTTGCCTACTAATGAAAATTTCTAAAACTGTGGCTCAGCATCAATATGAAACACCTGTAATCAAAAGGGGCAAATGACTTGGAAGTATCCCTTACTAGGTAAGTTTTCATTCAATATCAAGTAATGTCAAAGCTCAACTCTTACTTCCATAACTAAAAATACATAAATACTCAAAGTATGCATGCTGCCTTTGACTCCAACAGCTGGTGAGTGAACTTTCCTACACAGCCTGTTTCAGAGTCTGCAGAAAGCCTCAGCACCATCTCAGTTACTTCCTGCTGGATGTATAACGGTGACCCAACTGCACTGACGTGCAGCTTGATTTAATGAACAAGTGGGTGCAAATTGTGACACAGCACATGCAGAGTTCTTGTTGGAATGTCAACATGAAGTATTCCTGTAACTTTTCTTTTCCCTCTCACCAACCCCCCAAGGTCAAAAAAAAACCCCAAGCAAAATAAATACGTACCTCATCATCTTCATCTGTGAGCTCCTGTCCTTCTTCATTATGGCTGTAATCTTCTGAATAAATAGACTCAACTTCAAACTCTACACTGAACTGGTCTGAAACAGAACTGTGGTCAAACCAATCAGAGTTTTCGCTTAATGAACTAGCATCAAGATCCTGAAAGAAAAGAGAAAGTACACATTCAACCTCACTAGTCCATATACATAACTGTTACTATTAAAACAGCTCTTAAAATAAAAATGTGCTACTCAGTTTAATTAGCTATGGAAGAAATAAGTGCAGTGATTGTTAAGACAGTACATCTTCTATGAGATAAAGAAATTATAGGTAGGCAAAAATAAAGCTAGATCTGAAGGCCTTTTGTTGGCTCTGTAATAAGAGGCTGCAGTCAGCCTATAGCCCAGCTTGCAGACTGCAGTTACTATTTCACATAGGCTCTCCTAAAAAGTGAAAGAACAGATACAAGACGATGTTGTCTTTTGGTTGCAAGTCATTAAATTCTCTATTCTCACCAACTCTGTTAATCTTTAATTTGAGACTGTGACTAAACAGCTATAAAATAGGAAGACTGAAGACACGGTATTAGTTCTGTCAATTCAGAATACAGTATGTGACCAGGAATATTGTTAGTTTAGCTCTTCACGACTTAATCTCACCCCAGGTAACTTGCCTGGGTGTTTGTTGTGAAAACAACAGTATGAAACAGGAGAGGCTTGAAAAATTAATACGGTGTATCATCAGCACACATACTACTGAGTACAGTTACCCAGGCTGTACCAGAACTACCAGTTAATTCTGAATTATGGAACGTCTATGACTGCTTTTCTTCTCTTAGCACTGCATTCTAAGAAACACTTTAAAACACAAAATATATCTGACAGCTTTTTCAACACTGTGCCAAGCAGTAAGGATCTTGGTTTTAAAGAATATTCAAAGTTTATATTTAAAAACACTTCCCTTCAGCTTTGTCAGCAGACCTATGAAAAACCTCACCCACCATCTTTTCTTTCATCCTCTTTTCCTTCCTCACACAACACTGAAGGCATTGCCGCTTTTAATTAAGATCATGATGTTTTCAGATGCATATTTGCACTTGTGGCATCTGCAGAACTTGTACCACAAAGATATTTTATATTTATATTTTGACTTACGGGAATGGAAAGAGAATCTGTTGAGTCACTGCTATTGCTTCTTTCACGGCACAGCCCACTGACTACACACCATGAGAGACTTTCATCAAACGTCAACGAAATGCTGTCTGACTTGTGTCGCTTTCTTCTGTCACTATGCAGATCATCCAAAGAATTTTCTTCTGGGCATATTCAAGAATTTGTATTACTCCAAAAACATCTATGCAATGTTCAGTTCTGAATATTCTTAACAGATGTTTAAAATATAATTTACTTACAAAGAAATCTAATAAAATAATTCAGTATTATTTTTTGAGGGAAAAAGTAAAGGCACCAAAATTTATTCAGAAAGACACAATAACACTGATAAACAGGTAAAGTTAATACTCCTGAAGCCAGTATTTCAGGGGCTGGCTTTCCCCACTTGTCCCATCAGTACAGCTTGTGAATAGCAGTATCCACATGCAGGCAATAAAATGATCGCAAATTTGGAAGAATTTTTACTCCACACATGACACATACCCCTCCTAATTTTAAGAAATAGATCTTAATTGTCCTTGCTCCATCTACAGTCAGTAGACAGAAAGGCACTTTCACAGAGCTTCTGAGTCCATCCCAGAATTTGTAGGGAGACAGAGCAACTAGCTCCCAGGTCACATGCATACAGAATTCCTCGTGCTAAGCAAGGTAAAGTTCAGGTTCAAGTTTCAGACACCTGAACAAATTTCATGAATAGTTCCACTATATGTAATTGTATTTACTCAACAAGATTTTTGCAACAAACTGTTATAACTTTCAACTCACACTAGCAAAAACATCTTCAAGACATACTATATAAACACTGAACTCTGAGAGCACTGCTGTGCCTATTGAGTATGCTCGGTTTGAAGGCAAAAAGACAATGCTTCTTAAATACATCACATTTTGAAACAACCACCAGAAGCAGCATAAGAAGTAGGGGTGCAGCATTTTAGGGAAAGGTAAGTCAAAATTCAGCTCCACTGACTTTTAGAGTGTTTGGTAATAAACAATTTTATTAAAAAAGGTGTTGTAAAGTCAGTATATAAGTGCAGTGGAGTGAACCCCCCCTCCACGATGCCTGAAAACTTGGTTTAACAGACCTCAGTATGAGCCTGTTGCCCCGCCACAGGTGCCTTTTGCACCCACCCTCTATTGCCCAGCCTCTCCCTTGCCTTGCAAAACACACTGTGACAATCCACGAGTCTTCAAGTCTTGAATCTTTCATTGTAAAAGAAAAGAGAACAAAACACTTGTACATACTTTGAGAGTTCTCTCACTTTCCCTTGGTGCTTCTTGGCTCAGCCCCTCTCTTTTCTTTTTTCCGCCCTGAGAGCCCCACCAAATTTGGAGCCCCCAGGCCCAAGGGTTGCTCCTGTCCATCGTTGTCCTCATTTAGTTGTCATGGCTCCATGCCGTACTGATACTGTATCACCACAAGGTTTCTATACACTATAAAAGGGGCTCCAAAGGAGCCGCTACTATCCCAATTTAACAAGAATAGTTGTTTAAAAGGAAGATTTCCTATAAATTAGAAAAAAAGTGTATATAAAAACACTATATTAAAAGAAGTTTTAAAGTTGTAACAAACTAATAAAGGGATGCAAAGACAACAGTTAATAACCAAACCTACAATAAGTAAGCACAACACAGCACCTCACGTGCTCTGGGTCATGCCTAAATATTACAGGTTGTGCTGTTTAACTGAGACTTTCCATCCTTTCACTAGTTTAGTTACAACATTAAAACGTTCTTTTAATTTAGTGCAAACCGCTCAGCAACGCAGCACAGTTTTTGGACTGACATAACAGTGGCCTACAAGGAACACAAAAAATATTATTCAAAAGTTGAGGAACTGAAAAACGTTCCTGAGCAACTGAAGATGTTCTATGCAGCGACAGAAGGTTATCACTGCCCAGATAATTACAACCACCAAGTCATGAGGTAAGACAAGTAAGTGATGGAACAAACTAATGTAAGAAATTCCACAGAGTAGTATTTAAGTAGAACTGTAGAGAACACTTCCATTGAGAAACTTATTCAGGTTTATGCTGACCAGCTTGTTATTGCTAATTATAAAAAGAAATATTTCATATTTTGAAAATGTATTTGCCAGTGATTACTGAATAACCACAGCAAAGACAAAAAGGAGGCAAATAGGATACTCATGTCATCAGATGTTTTATTAAGTGCTTAATGAACAATCAGGTTCATCACCTAAACACATCCAAAATCACTGTAACATGACACTGGAGCAATGCAAGGAATCACGTTTTTCTTTTCAGGTTGAACATTTTGTTTCAGATAAGCAGAGAACTTTTACCCCTAAGTGGACATGCTACTGAAAGCTCTGCATCATAAATCTGCACATACCAGATTCACTGTGTGTCCTCCTCCTAGAAGATGTAGTTGGTCGGGAAGTCACGTTTGATGAAGTCTGTTTCTCTTCTAACTCTTGCATAGACTCCTGATTAACAGAAATACTGAGTGAGCCTGAGCATGAATGTAAAGTAAAGGGCTAAAATCAACTAATTACATCTAAACCATTGACACTATCATGTAAAACTAAACAGAATTTACAACTCAGAACATTTATTAAAATAAAATTAAAGTATCACCTTAAGAACATTTTCTTCTTTGAGCTGAGATCTGGCATCATCCTCAGGTGTGCCACCAAGCGTAGAGTCTGAAACCAAACCAAGCCAAAACCCATAATACAACATAGCAGAAAACTTTAATTTCAGGCTTAAAAAGTAAATCCTAAATAGAACTTAAAATCCAGACATTTTGGAACAGTTGAAAAAACCCACACTGCTCCTTTGCTTTTCAGGTGTGTGCAGCACCTTCCCTGTAACGTTACTGAAATGGGAACGTGGGGAGAAAGAAGGAGAAATGTCAATCACAAAGCAGCTCAGAATTTCATTATAAATGGCTTCAAATGAAGGCTGTGCAGGCCCCCTGATTCTGCAGATATGAAAGAATACAGGCAGGAAATGCAATACACTTCTTCCTCTAAAAGTGCTTTCTACTAGCTATCATTTTATGGGAATACTGAATTAAGAAGATAATTAATAGAAGAAAAAATAGTTGCTGTTGATGGTATATGCTTACTACCAGGCAGACCCTGAATTAATAAAGACTCTTTAAAAAAAAAAAATTGAGAGATAAATTTTAGTTTGCAAGCATAACAATAGGGATAATAAAGAGAGCATGTTTCCCATCTTCAGCAGCTGAACTTGCCTTTAGAAAGAACCAGAAACAAAGGGTGTCTTAATACAGATTTAGAAGCCAATTTACAAAATGGCTTCCATTGTTTGACTTCTGTTTCACACCCTGTATGAGGCAAAAATTACAGCTATATTGAGCATTTTTATACTGCAGGACAGATGACTGTATATAACAATTCTCCACTCAAGGAGTGGCTATGCACAGTTACCACAAAACTACTCTTTTAAAGGATATAGACCTTTTAACAAGACTCAGCGTAGCTGAGAATGACCAGTTCTAAATACATTCCACATTCAATTTTGAAAATTAAAACACAACTTTAACAGAAAAGAAAATGAACAGCATTTGCCCTGACTTTATTGTTAATAGACACAAGTTCGAGAAGCTAGTTTTTTGAATTAAAACTTTTTATGTTGTTGAGGGCTCTAGTAGTAACAAATACAAGCAAATGACCAAGTTTTTAATTTAGTACTCTTTTAGCTCATCTCTGATTGTGTTTGTTCTGGTTCTAGTCAACAAAATTACCCAAATGCTGCTCAGAATATTTTTCTCCTCCAGGAGAAACAGTGTTTGCTTTGATTTACTATTTATGATTGCTGTGGACAGCAGCTGGTAAAGCCAAATAGCTAATAATGGAGAGATCGCTGTTATCTGATAACTACCTGCAAGATGTATTATATAAGTTATATTTTCCCTACTGCTGTTTCTTAAAACCAAACAGCCTCCTAAACTAGCTTACCTTGTTGATTGACTGCCATCAGATTTCTGGAAATCATCGAATATAGTCTCCTTAAATGGGAATAAAGAAAAAACCATTGCAAGTTAGCTACATGGAATCATAGAAGAGAGCTTACCATCTTCAAAGATGCAAAGAGTTTCAAAAGGCCATACGCATTGTGTTCTTCATTATTTCCCAACCAGATTCTCAGAAAAGAATCCCATTACCTGTGTTCTTTTACTGAAAAGCTTGTTACTCCAAATAAATCCCCCAGGAGATCATTTGCACAGTGTACAATATGCTGCTGTTTTTCATCATATAATTGTTTAGACATAATATATTGTCCAAGATAGAATATTACCTGCAAAATAAATGAAATACACAGACATTAAATACCAAGTTTGTTGTTTCAAGATTAAGAGAGCAAGCACATTAAATACATTGAAATCTGCTCTTCAAATTCTGAATGCCTAGGACTCCCTCTGAGCTGATAGATTTCCATCTATTGTTCCCCAAGAATGCCACAATTCTAATCACAAGAAATTTTTGTTCACATTTTTGAGAAACTAGCTAAATAACTAGTACAGTAGAATAAACACAAAATCACGTCTTCAATAATTACTAGATAAGCTATGAACTACACTGCCCCCCAATCACCCAGAACAAAACAATATATCTGTACTCACTGTAGTCTACTTTTAGTGATTAAAAGTTCTTACCTCCTTCATAGTAAAAGTGTCCTTTTCTGCACCAGCTAACTTTAACAACTTCAGCAATAGTGGCTTTGGTTTAACCTATGTGGGGAAGCAGAAAAACAATTTGCACCAATTATTTATCAAAACTCCTTAACTTAGACAGCTTACGTTCCTCCTTCTGTATTAATTTGATATGCAAACACACAACTATATTAAAACAAATCCACATTCAAATTTTTTCACTTTGCAAAGTTAAAACTTAAAAAGCAAATAACGTGAACAAAATCATACTAAACTTTTCACACACCTTAGCTCAAACATACATCCTAGCTCAAAGTTGTCTTTGGCTGTCTCCTAGTTTCAGCTGGGGTAGTTAATTTTCCTCCTAGTAGCTGGTACAGTGCTGTGTTTTTTGATTTAGAAGAATAACGTTGACTACACACTGATGTTTCTGTTGCTGCTAAGTAACTAGATTAAACCAGGGATCTTTCGGTGTCCCACGCTCTACCAGTGAGAAGGTGCACAAGAAACTGTGTGGGAGCATGGCCAGGAGAGCTGACCTGAACTTGCCAAAGGGATATCCTATACCACAAAACGTCATGGGGGGAGCCACCCAGGGGAGACCGACTGATGCTTGGGGACTGGCTGGGCATCAGTCAGCAGGTGATGAGCAATTGTATTGTGCTTCACTTGATTTTCTTGGATTTTACTACTCTCCCTTCTCTTTATTATTAATATACTTTATTTCACTTATTAAACTGTATCTCAACACACAGGCTTTACCATTTCTTCTGATTCTCTTCCCCATCCCACCACAGAGGGGTAGGGAGCAAAGAGCTCCCTGCTGCTCAGTTGCTGGTTGCGGTTAAACCTCAACATGTTGGTTAAGTAGAGATTCCTTAATTTGAGCTACCGGATTTGTTTATTAGTTCCAAGTACAGGGCTGCGTCCTGGGGAATTCAGCTTCACTTCTTTAACCATTCCAATGACTCCCAGAGGGAAAGAGAAAGGCAAAGCATCTTCATGACTGTCAGGTCCAGAGAGCAAGTCATAAAGCAAAACACTGGTCCAGCTCTTTCTGTCTCTTTCTGTGACAGTTTCTGGGGTTTTGGTTTACATTTGCCAATTGGGCTGCTTTACCTCTGAAGACTTTTCTTAGCTGGGACAAGCACACCCTGTCCTTCCCATCATACTTGACTCACTCCTACCTCCGCAATGGCCTCCCACCCACCCACTGTGCCAGCAATTTTATCTGCAGCCAGGCTGTGACAATTTCTGAGGTAAAGGACAGGAAAGTTAAACAACAAAAAAATCACTTCCCCATATATACAACTCTTTTTTTTTCTTCTGGCCAGAGCAGTGTCCTGATCCCGCTCACTGCACTGTTCCACACAGCTGTGCCAGCACAGTTGCAGCAGATGAGAACCAGCTGCAGGGGCTGCCGTAACTTCAAACTAAGTGCCTGTGGAGCCACTGATGGTTCCCAGTGCAGTATATTGCAGGGTCGCCTCTTTACCAACGGCATAACCGTTCTAGGAACAGGCTAGTATTTAGCTATCCTGATATAGTCCATAAAATAAAATATACAAAAATAAATACTGAATGTAAAAAAAAAGAAAATACAGGGAAGTGTGACCAAAATATCACAAGTCAAGGAATAAATGCTTAAGGGAAGGGCGGGGAGGGGAACTTCCCTGCATTTCATTTTAAAGATCTGCTAAAGCCAACGTTAAGTGTTAGTGCTTTAACAAGAGATTAGATGCAAGAATTACACATAGTAAAAACAATAACCAAGCTTATGGACAACATTAGATGTCTATTCACCTCTTCCTAAGGGCTGAATTATTTAGAATATAAAGAACATATTACAGTTTCATAGAGGAAGCAAACAATAACTTATTAAAGCACTACTGACAGCTAAGCATAGGAAGACAGTTTCAGATCTCTGAATCCACGATCAAGCCCACTTTTACTCCCCAGCCCTCTTCCTGACTCCTCCAAGTATAAATTCTTTCGCCTCCCAGATCTGACAGCGTACAGTAGCATCACAGTATGATGACTTAAAAAAAAAGAAACAAACAAAAGAAGGCTTTTCTGCTATTTCACTTTTTTGAAGTTCTACTCCAAGTCTACCCTTTAAAGCTTTACCCTTCTACACACAGCAGCCCCGTCCAAACATCATTGCACATGTGCTGTTTTTAACTTGTCTTTCAGGTATAACAGGCTTCCATTGTCAGGAAAACTTATGCACAAACCAGGGCAGCAGAACTGCCACTGTACCATGGAAACCATGGCTATGCAAAGCCATAAAAACAAACGAAGACTCTTCTTACAACTTGCTTATGAGTAGACGAGAAAGCAGAAAACCTTAAGATTATTTCACAAACAGTATGCTTTGCACAATGGAGATCTTCCACAACTCTTCAGTTATATCTATTAACAATTCCCATCATGAAATACTTACCACGATCAAATCCGTTAAGATTCTTTTCATTAAAAGAAAGCAAAAACCACCGTAGATTCCAGGAAACAGAGTCTAGACCTAAACCATCACCCTCAACTCTCAACCATGAATAACATTTGCTTCACAATTACAGGATCAAAGAGACATAACCGGATTTCCTGGTTTTTCTACAACCATCGCTCGCTGCAAAAAGTGGTCTTTCTAAATTAGCTGCTAAAACTCTGCAAAAAGCATGAAAAAAAAGCGCTTCCAACAGAGCTACTGACCAGCGCCTCTTGCTCCGAGCCGGTGACAGCGGAGGCATCCGTAAGGGAGGACATCTTGGTATTGCACATTTGCCTGCAATTGAGGGGAGAACCAGCTCAGAACGTGGCACGCAGCGACACAGCCCGGGCTGGCGGCAGCCGCCACGCCGGCGGGACCCACTCACCTCGGTGTCCCGTACAGCCCACGCGCCGTGGGCTCCAGCGGCGCTGTCTGGCCCGAGTCGGGCTGGGCCGGGCCTTATATAGCTCTGCCAGCAGGAGGCAAGTCAGGGCTTAGCTCCCGCGCCGGCCCGGCCCGGCCCGACATGCCTGAGCATGACCCGGAGCGCCGCCGCCGAGTCACCGCGGGGGGCGAACGGGCGGGACGGGCCCCGCGCTGACTCACCGCGGCCTCCGAGCGCGGCGGAGGCCGGCGAGGCGGAGGGACAGCGGCGCGGGGGAACAGCGCCGGCCCCGTCCCGCCCGCCCGGCCGGCCCGGCGCCCCCCGCTGCAGCCCCTCCCCCCCAGCGCCGAGGCCGCACGAGCGACAAGCGAGAGCCCCCGGCCCACTCACTCCCTACCCCGGCCCCCGAGCGAGCCGCGATCGATCCCCACGCACCGGCAGCCGCGCCCGCTCCGCAGCCCGGCCCGCAGCGGGCGGAGCGCCGGCAGCCCGCGGGGCCCGGCCCGCAGCCTCTACCGCGGCCCCGCCGCGCCCTGCGCGCCCCCAGCCGCCATGTTGGCCTCGCGGCCCGCGGGTGCCCCGGCGCCCCCTGGCGGGCGGTGCCGCGCTCGGGCCTGGCGGAGACGGAGCCGCGGGAGCCGCGCAGGGAGGGCGGGGGTGCCGCGAACGCTCCTCGAGAATTCGGGGACACGGCAGCGCAAGTGTTGGTTGCCTGGCCGATAGGGAACCACGCCTCTGTATACTGTTTTGATTTGCAGTGGTCGTTTGTGTCTTCTTTTAAGCTGTTTTGTCACTGATATTTAAGAGATGGAACGAGGAGAAAACTTTTACATCCAAAGAGAATTGGATGCTGTTGTCCTACATTCTTGTCATCTCTCATTCTATAAGTTTCTGTATCTTTTAAATGTAGGGTATTTGGAAGTATGTCATTTTCATAGGGACTTAGTAGTTGCTACACTTCGAACAGAACTAGTTAGTTTTTAGTCTGACTGCCTTTTCTAATTCTCAGGTTTTTTTCTTTGCCCATAGTGAAATTTTGAAGTTATTTTTGAAGAGTGAAAAGATTTGTTAGAGAATGTAAGAGCTGTAGACAGGGTTTAAAGGTACACTAAAGCAGAGGGAGTGTAATGCTAATTTTCCATGACAACTAACTTGTCCAAACAAGCAGTGGATAACTGCCTGGACTTGTCTGCTGGCCAAATACAGATTCTCAGCAACCATGGCACCTTGTAAAAATTCCAGCAACGGTTTAAATCTAGATATTTGTGTGATGATGGATTTCAAGATGACTTTGTTATCCCTCTAGAGCATAAAGCTCAAGGTCTAGTGAGGGACATCTGAGGAGCTGCCAGAATTTTGCAAAGCATGCTCACCTCCTGTTAGTATGGGGATTTCAAGGCAAACAGAAATCTATTTCAAGTGGAATGTCCTTCATCGGGCAAAGTCAGATACCTTCTCCTTTCCACCCAGCACCCCAGTTTCTGAGATCCTTAGCTAGCTAACTTCATCGGGAGGAGAAAATTCTGTTGACACAAAAATACAAGAAGATGGAATCAAATGGCTACATTCAGTTGATGTAATACTGAACAGCTGGATTACCAATGCTCAATCTTGTCCTTATGTGGCTATTTAATGAGATGTTCTCATTAAATAATATCATAAGGACATGATAATGTCCTTAAGGGTAAGTTGATTTTAAAGTTGTTGAATTTACTCACCGGTTTTGTTTCCTTCAAGGATAAGAAAATCCAGCAGTTTCTGTCTAGAATTTTTATCAGTCTTCAAGGACAATATTCTCCCTTTTCTCCAACAGACTAATCTCAGGTAAGGGGAGGCTGCAGGTAGGTAAAACATGATGTCTGTGCTTGCTTAGGAAGACAGGGGGATATTTTCTGACACGCAGTGCTGCAACACTTCTGATTGTCACTCAGAAAGCACATGCTATGTCATCAACACACTATTATTTTATGTTGCTTGATAATTCAGGACAAGTATAATTAAAAAGCTTTTACTTGAAGGGTGAGTAATAAGCTTGTATAATTATGAGAGCTGACTTCCCCAATATTTCAAGTTGTAAAAAGCAAAGGAGAAATCACTACAGCAAGACCCCACCTGTGTATTTTACTTAAAATGCCACAGAAAAATCTCTGGAGCAGATGTAGCCCAGCTGCCTTAACTGGAGATACTCACTTTACATTGTGGTTAACTAATGTGACACTCTTTTTAATATAAATTCAGATTCTAACTGTAGACATTTTGCTGTTAAATGCTTGCAAGCCAAATTACTTTTGGAGATGGATCTGTCTACCTATAGGGTCATATGCCAGAGGAAAGACAGGTCTCTGTGCTGCAGGGGTGCCCAACTCAAGTGAGTGGAGGGACTGTTAAATATTCCATTTCAGATTTTTGTTCCTCACTGTAATTCCTTTTTTTTTTTCCTCCAACATGTCCTACTTACCCTTTCCTGGCAGATGTCTCTTAAGCATCCAGCACATACGCAAAATGGTCCTTGCCAGAGGCTGATCAGAGGCATACATGGCCAGGGTTTGTCAGGTCTCATCTCCAAGCGGTTTGCTGCTCCTTGGCTATCAGATAGGTTAATCTCATGTGTTGCCTATGAACTGCTCACACACACACACACACACACACACACACACAAATAAAATTAAAAAAAGCCTCTGGGCCTTACACTGTGTTGATGTATCCTTTCTGAAGCCTTAGACACAACATCTATTACTATGACATAAAGCTGTGATCAGGCACGTGCCACAGATTGTCAGGCACCTCAACGTGAAAGGACAGAGGAACAAGGATGCTGAAACGCAGCTGGGGCACGTGTGGCTTAATGGGACTTTCTGTCAGGCCTGTCTACTGCAGCTGTGACCCCACATGCCACACAGTGAGTCAGTACAATTCTGTACAAATACAGGAGGAAGAATTTTGTTGTTTGCTTTCTGCTTTGTTGTGTAAGAAAAAGCACATTGATAAGAAATCCTCAGACAGTAATCACAAATTCAGTGCGGGGAACTTAAAAGCTAATACCTATCCCAATGGAGAGGTCTGTCAGTACCAGAAACTTCTTACTATAAATGCCACCCAAATTCTACTAAATGAAAAGGGAATGCAGCCTTCCTGGGTGCAGATTTGAAGAGAGAGTAATGACAGGCAGGAATCAAGAGTAAGGCTCATAGCAGCAGTGGGAACCCAAAGACCACATGCGATGCTATTGCAGCTGTTTAACAGGGAACACCAAGCTCTACTTTGCTGTTCAACTTGTGTTTTTCTCATGTGCAGGAGCCGTGTATTTGAGCTGCCCAGGGCTGTACCGCCCTTCCCAACAACCCCAGCTACTCTGCAGACTGGGGGGCACAGCACATGTTTTGCAGCTTTACCTGTGTGCACACCCTGGGCTCAACTGCCTGCAGTATTTCATCACAGAATCACAGAATATTCTGAGTTGGGAGGGACTCAAGAGGATCATCAATTTCCAACTCCTGTCGCTGCACAGAACAGCCCCAAAAATCACACCGTGTACCATGTGGGAGCTTTGGATATGAGATCAGCAGTTTCCTACATTTCCATACCTTCAGAGCAATCTTTTATTTTGAAAAATGTAAAACTATTTCAGGTGAACTGGAAAAGAGGGTTTGAAACAAAATGTTTTTCTAGCAGCTGTTCATGAGCTCTTTCTTATCCCCTTCCCACAGGCACTCAGTTCAGGTGTGTCTACTCTTGGGCATACTAACTACAGCTGCTTCAAAACCACCTGGAGCCGGAACAATCCCACATCAGAAGACAGCAGCTCTTCTGCCTTTGTTTCGTTGCCATACTTATTTCTTCACCCATCTGGGAGACACTGGTAGTCTGTCTGCCCAAATCTGATTCTTATTTAGTAGCAGCTCAGTCAGCCACAAGCACAATTAAACAAAACAATAGCCTTCTGAAGGGAGGCCAACAAGCAAGAACATATACCAATTATTTTGAACTTCTGCTCATTGTCTAAAACAGAATGAAAAGTTTGAGTGTTTTTTTTCCCTTCTAGTTTTCTGTTTAGTCCTCACTTTTAAAGAAGCTTGTGGAATGATTCTGAAGAACTGAAAAGGAAAAATCTCAGGAGAAGACTTCTAACTCTCAAACAGTTTTTGTTAGGCATATCACTGAATGAAGTACACTTTTCTTGTTAAGCAGGGGTGAAATATATGACAAGATTGTGACCATTTCCTGCTTTACTCAACTGTAGCTGTGAAAATTAAATAATTCAGTGATATCTCCTTCCCTAGAAGTACTTGACTGCGTGTAATTAGATCAGAAAAAGACTCCGTATAACCATGCTCATCTGCCTTATTTACTCAGACTAGGATGACGCCAGTTCAGTTTAGAATCGTTCTTTTAATCCAGTGCTCATTTGTCATACAAATGTGCTGTTCAGTCCAGCACAAAACACATTTCTGTTTAAGGGAGCGGCCCAGAGGGGTGTGTGTGGTGTGCACAGGCTAATAGGACTCATGTGAAAGACTGAGGTATCTTTCAGTTTGAAACTGAAATGTATTCAGGGACAACCTAAATCTAGGAGAAGCTGAGAGCAAACATAGCATGCAATTCAAATCCAGTCTGTTTGGGGTGCCATGTATGGACAGAACTGCAGCTGATGATGAGGTCAGGCCTGAGGTACTATTCAAGTCAGGCTGCAGTCTGGGTTAGACCAAGGGAAGACAAAAAATTATTTTAACTGTCTGGCTGTTACTTGAACTGTTTGTTTCTAACAACAAAACCCAGAAAGGCATTTTAGTGCACAAGCAGCTTCTTAATTCAGTTGCATTCTATGTACCTGATCATGTATCTCCCAGAATTGTCCCAGTCTTGGTAGCCCATTTGCCCACATCTCCCCCAAATGCTTCCATAGTTGCTTTCTAGCTGCCTGTTATACAAGGAATATAGGCCTTAGTTTGGATCACAAAGTCTCTACAACACCCTCCCTTGCAGACCTTCTTGTTGTCTGCTCCACAGGGTAAAGTTTGGTTGGTGCAGCCTTGGTGACAGGTGTATGATTTTACTTGACATAGAATGAATTATCCATTCCTGAGAAAAGCCTCAACACTCTCCTTTTCCTAATACAATTGATTTTACTCATGAATTACAAAGTCACCTTTCTGCTTTCTCTCTCTGTTTGAGAGCATAGCTTTGTCAGTAAAACTTTTAGCATACAACTGGCAGA